GCCAGCCACAGCAGTCTGCCGTGCCGGTGGGGTGGCTGGAGCCCCTCGTCAGCCCTCCCTGATGAGCACATTTTGATATTGGCCTTTTAAATAGGACTCTGGTTCCTGGCCTGCACACTGTTGATAGCAATGCTGTGTTTGTCGCTGTGTTCATGTCAATGTTGTCTTCAGAGTGCTGAGGCTGCCCCAGGAGTAACACCGGGAGGGAGGTGACCAACAGTGCAGGATGACTGGAAAGGGGTCACTACGCTGCACAAGTTATTATTATTTTATATGTTACTTAGTCTGCAAAGAAAGAGAAAACGTAATTTATTTTGCTTACCTTTTTGTGGGAGACTTTCTGTTCTGTCACATCCTGATCACCCTGTCCGTGGGAGCGTCAGCTCTCTCTTCACGTTCACCCGTGACTTTCCTCCCAGCCGGGCAGGCAGGGGAAGCTGCGCTGTACGTCCCGGTGCTTCCCCCCACGCACTGGATTGTCCGTAGCAGCACTAGCAGGGAGCCAGCCTGCTGGCAGGGAGCCTCGCAGGATGGAAAGCTTAAGAAGTGGAAATAATTATCACCTTAGCAAGCCTAGTGTCCAGAATTCACGTTATGTTGCTTTGGACCCTGGTTTCTGGATATGTATTTTGCAGATTTTGCAAAAATGGCTTGAAAGTTTCTGGTGCCTTTTTTTTTTTTTTTTTAACCCAACTCTATTGAAGTCATGCTTTGCTGAAAGTTTTTAACCTAAAGATTCGGCTTCCCTATATATGTAGATTTTATTGTGTTCTAGATAGCAGTATGCAAACAAAGTCTTTGACTTTCCAAGATTGTCCTCTATGTGCAGAGGCCTCTTCTGTTTCTATTTTGGCTATACGGAATATATTTCCCTGTAGAGATGAAGTATGCATCTCTTCCATGTATGTCCCTGAGAGCACATTAGGGTGCAAAGAGAAAGAAAAATTTAAATATCTCTCTCAACTGGACCATGTGACCATTTGATTTTGGATATCTTCTTTGAAGAGCTGCTCTGTTACCAAAAATCATTGAGCTGTGCAATGTAGGACATTTTGATTCTGTGGGCAGCACCAGAGCTGTGCGTCTTACTGTCAGAAAATGAGCGATCCTTTTATTTGTGAGTGGCTTCAGATTAAATCTAGAGCACCTGAACTTAGAGATGAAGAAAATGGTATTGCATGGAAGCTGGTCTTTCATGGAAGGCTTCTGAGGTTTCGGGGGGAACCAATGGTTGGGGGTGGATAAAACTCAAGAGAGCTGGCCGGAGTGTGTGGCTGTGCTAGATGGTTTTTGGAGACCATTCCTGGTCAGAGGACAGTTATAACACAGCATTTGGGGTAAAGCTGTTGGCTAGGACTCATGATGGAGCTGTGGTGGGAATTGTCCTGCCCTGTCTCAGGGCTGCTAACTGCCCTGACGTGCTGATGTGGAAGAGTGTGAGCTGACCTATACACCTATACTTGTCACTGTTTGCAGAGCTCTGGTGGGCAGCAGAAACATCTCCTGGGCTTCCCTGGGTCCGGGCGTGGTGGGTGCAGAGCACATGAGGTCCTGTTGGGAGGGGACACACTCCCTGGGCTGATGGGGCCATGGGTGCTGCTCACTCTTCTCCTTTTCATGGAGATGATGGAAGAAAACAAGCAACTGGCTGAGGTCAAGTTCTGCCTTGTCAGAGCTGCAACAGCCCGTCTCTGCTGGCATGTTGATGCGTGACGAAAACATGGCAGATAAGTCTTGCTGGGATGATTAGCATATTCCCCGTTTCTGTGCCAAATACGCATCGTCTCCTGGGGTGATTATTAAGCTGCTGAGCAGCCTGTCACTCAGAATTACTCGGTAATAAATCCTGATCTGATGGGTCTTGGCTGAGGGTGGCGGTTCCCCCGCAGCCCAGCTCCACGCTCCTCGGTGGGGCGGTGGCGATCCCCTCACGTCCTGATGGGCACAGCTGCTCCTCTCTGCAGAGGCCTCGTCTGGCGTTCCACTATTTATCGTTGATGTCGTGATATTTGGTATTGTTGCCAAGTGAAGCCTTGGTGTGGTGGAGGGGGCTTCCTAACCAGTTTCTGGCCTTTCTGGAGGAGGAAGAGAAGCTGAAAGATTTGGCTGAAATACGACCCGAGGACTCAACAGCCACATGGATAAAAATTGCATTGATGTGGCCAAGGACAAGGGATTATCCTTTTTTTTTCCCCCCTCTTTTTATAAACGCTGGCACCATATCCATCACAGATGCAGTGACCCAAGATCATGCATCCTTCCTGCATCTCAGCCGTAGACACCACGGCATCTCCTGGGAGCTCAGCCCCGCGCACGGAGCATCCCCATCGCTCTTTGGGGATGCAGCTGGTTGTGTTCGTGGAAGAGCCTGGTAGCTCTGCTGAGAAGAGTGAGGAAGGTCAGGTTTGCAAAGTGAGGACAGGAGATACTCAGGTGTTAAGTTAATAAACTGATTAAAGATTTGTGAAGTGTGGATTTTCTTCCCCCTGAGATAGCCTTACGTGTCCTTGCATCAAGAACACAACCACTTTTGTGGCTTGGGGTGTCTTTAGGGGGACTGAGTGACTTTTATTATTTTTTTTGTTAATTATTTTTTTTAATCAGTTTAGGACCTGAATGTGTTTCACCCTTCTCTCTTTGAGTTATCAGCTCCTCTCACTAAGTTTTTTTCTGAAATAAATAAAAAAATAATGACAAATGTGAAACCCAAATGATTTGAGCCATGGGCCAGTGAGCTGAGAAGGACTGCTTTACATTGCTTTCAATACATTTTATATTTTATGTATAAATAATTAGATGTTAGGAATAAAAGCTGTCTATTTAATTCATGCCATTGAAAACCCTCTGTGCTGTTAATAGGCTTAGTTATAGGCGACACCTCTTTGAAATATAATTCTTTTATGCATTTTAATAGAGTTCATGGTAAACATACTGTGATAAGCAGACAGCGACTAATATTTCCTGCAGGCAGAGTGCACCTAATTAAAATTAATTGATTAAAAAAAAAAATCATCGCCACTAAAATTTCCAAACTATTTTTTCTTCTTGACAAAGCACCCGTGGTGTGGTGTGGGGATGCAAAAAGCCGCACGTCTGGGCTGGTGCCTGACTCTACATGCTCTTTGCTGCTGAGATCTGGACCACCAGCGCAGCCCAGCTGTGTCGGGGATGCTCTTTGGGGTATCAAAGCGAGTGTAACAAATACAAACTGGTTTGGGAAATTGGGGTTAGCAAAGGGCTCATTCTCCAGGGCTGTTGAGTAGGGGCTTATTCAGAAATTCAATCACAGGTTACTATAATAACTTTGCATTTGGAGTTGTTTTAGCGTGATAGCCTGGATGCTGGGGGTCAGGTTAGTCCCAGGTGGGGTTTTCTGACTGTCCCTGCTCTCCACAGGGCCTTCTGTTCTCCACTCCCGAATGCCTGAAACAACCCCAAGACCTGGTGAAGCTCTATCTTCATGAGTCAAACCGGGTGTACCGGGACAAGATGGTTGAAGAAAAGGATTACAGTTCTTTTGATAAACTCCAGCTGGAGATGGTGAAGAAATTCTATGATGTGAGTGCTGAGGTTCATAACTCTGATAATAATGTGCATGCTCACAGGAAAGAAGTTCCTTGTGAAAACGGAGTTTGACCCAAGGTCTGCCCACCTCTCACTTGCCTGGAGGGCAGTGCTCTTGATGGGAGCCCAGGAGCAAAATCTCTGTAATTGGTATTCTGGGCTGCCCGTGCTGCCATGTGGGTCAATGATGCACTCCATCACAGCGCGGTGGAGAGGAGATTTGGGCTCCGTGAATTAATTAAATTTTTATTTAAGTGCTTTCAGTCTCATGTGGCTGAAGCAGGAGAAAGGTCAGATCCCTGGTCTTGATGGGAGCAAAGTGAAATGCAGTACTTTCCCTTTTTCCAAAATATCTTTCAAATGAAATCTCTAGACCTGCTTTCCTTCAGGCCTGGCATCACCCAGCAGCGCTGCCATATGAGTCACACAGGTATCGCTGAAGTGATAAGTAGTGCAGATGGCACTTTTCCTCCAGGTATTATCCCTGTCCATGCAACAGCCTAACACTATGGCTATTGCTGCGGGGCTTTTCGTGTGGCTGTGTTCTCCTACGGTAATGAGTTGAGTTTTTGTGGTTTGCAAAAACGTCAGAGCAAAAGATGTCAGTACTGCCTGGGGCTTTTCCCTTTCCCCCTCTTTCCTTCTTGTCCCTCTTCCCCCTTTTCCAACATGTAGGTGCAACTATACAGGCATAAAAAGGCATTTGCTGGAACTCCGTACTGGGAAAGATGGCATAGAGCTGCAGTGTTTTTTCCTATACTTGTTATATACATATATATATATTTAAATCTTTTTCTTTGACAGGACATTGAGGAAACTTTAGAGCAGACCAAGCAAATGAATGTTTATTGCCATTTTGCTAAAGGCATCGGTGAACCCAGCTATAGGCCAGTTCCAACCTGGGAGGAGTTGAACCAGATCCTTGTGGAAGCCTTGGACAACTACAACGAAGTCAATGCTGCCATGAGCCTGGTGATGTTTGAGGATGCCATGTGCCATGTGTAAGGGGATTTTCTGGCTTTATGGTCTCATCATAGCATTTATCTGTGGGTATTTTAAAGCCTGGTTGCTCTTATGATATCTTTGGCCTTTGATGCTCTGCATAAGGCATAAACATTTATTGTACGTGACAATGTTCGAGTGCTTTATCGTTTATGTGGGTGTTCACTTGACAACCAGCTACAGAACTTGTTGTACTGGGATTTCCCT